GGTTGAGTATCGTTCAAATCCACCCTTCTCCACCCATCACACCATATACACGATTCTACACGCCAGTCAGTTCATGTTACTAACAAAGAAAAGCAACCTCCTTTTCCGGTGAAACATGAAACCTCCCCTCGCATGCCAGTCAGTTCATTCTCCCTTCACCTCCCCTCCCGGTGCCTCCGGCCAATCGGCCAAATCCTCCGGCGCCGCGTAGCGCGCCCGCTGCGCCAGCGCCGATGCGCCGAAGATGGCGGCGAAGCCGCCGAGGCGCAGCAGCGGCAGCGCCAGGCGCAAGGCGTCGCCTGAAGCAGAGCACCGGGAAGAGGTTTTTGGATGGCTTTGGGGTGTCGTTTTTGGGGTCGTTAGTAATACCAATGGTCTTTGGTGCTGTCTTTGGTTTCTATGAGCCTTGATGTTAAGAATGCTTTGGACACCGGTGTTTCTTGACCAGTTGACAGGAAACTGGGCTCCTTGTGTTGAAGCTCCTCCTTCCGACTACCTCCGAATCCGGTCTCCCGGTCGACCAAACGGGCAGAGGGACGGCTGCGCTGAAACTGCGCAAGTGCATGGCTGGCAGCTTTGACCTGCTCTGGGGACCCATTCTGCAGGAGTTCCACCTGCGTGCATTCAAGCTCGCGTTCGAGCGCGCAGAACAAAAAAGACACCAGGTTGCGCTTTCGTACTATGTGCAGGGCGTACCAAGTGCTCATAAATCTATACAGCAATAGGTCATTAAATGTAATTGATTTTGTTAACAGCTTGCCTGCTTCTTGTTTGTTGAACCATATATAGGGATATATAGCTGAGCGAGACTGAATGGCATCCAAATTTCCGGCCTGCCGGGCAAGCTCTTGCAATGGCTCCATACCATTGGGAGATCGAACCGAACTGCTGGGGTAAGGAGCTTCTTGTTTTGCGGGCAGGAAAGGATATATAAAGGACATGTGGAATGTTCCACATGTCAAAAATAGGGCATGGCAGAATATGCGAACATATTTGTCGAGATAGAAAAGTTCAGGTCCTGGATCCTTCTTGAATCATCCATCAGTACACTTCATGGATCTGCCAATTTCTTACGAATTCCATCCAAAAGCAACAACATGAACACCTGTTAAACAAGAATCGAACCTTGAGTTGGAAGTCACAAGGAGTCTTCCTCCAGAAACCCGGCTCTTGTGGATCTCAGTTCTGAAATCGCAATAAATCGCAGGTCTCTCAGTCGTGATTTCAGGTCGGTCTCAGATTTTCAGGTCGGTCTTCAAATATGCTCCACTCGATCTGCTTCGGCTTCCGCATCACCAGCTTCGGTGGATGGATTCGGCTCAAGAAAACGGCTGCAGATCGATTGTGGGCTTCGGTGGATGTTAGATGTGCACCGTGGAAGCTGCCTCGAAACATCTCGATACAAACACCAACACAGCCTGTCTGTGGGTTATGCACTAGGATACCGACTGGTTGACCTACCTGGGAGGTCGTTCGCATGCCTACATATTGGGTCTATCCTAATACCTGTAACAGTGGATGATGATGATTTGTAAAGGCCTTGTTGAAAACAAGTAACACAATTGTTTACTGACGGTTACAGGTAATAGGACAGACCCAACCTACATTGATGCCCCAGACCACCCCAATGAAGGCATATATAATGGAGTGTGACTGGGAAACAATGTTACCAGTCATGTGTCTTTGCACAATCCATGAGCCTTGCAAGCCTTGCTTTCAGGCAAATGTCACAGGCACCGTGGTGAGATGTTCAGGCTGTGGACTTGAGTCTTCTCAGTCCGAGCCTTGAGGGGCCAAAACTGCGACGGAAGTGCTCCGGTCTTTTGCAGCACCTCCGATCTCGTACCATGTCCTGTCTCACGTCTTGTTGCATGGCATTGTATGGTCAAAGGTTTTAATAGATCAGCCCCCCCAGACTGCCGTTGGGGCCACGGCTGACATCCCAACCCACCAAGGTCTGGTGCACAAAGGTCTGACGGCACGGTGGCATGGAACCCGCGCGGAACCCGAAGGGGGGGACCAAGGACGCTTCTCAGAGGCGAGGACTGTGCACAGTAATTGGTCCCAAAGTGTGGCATGCTTGCAGTCTGAACTCAGTTCTCAGTCTGGTGGCGGCTGTTTCTTGAAGATTAAAGCAATACTCATATCATTCCATATCGAGGTATCTCCAGGTTCCCTCAAGAATGGCCATCTTGTATGGATCTTGGGAAGCAAATCCGGAGATTCGATGGGAAGACGAGGATCGGATGGACCTACAGCCTGCCGGGAATGGACATGAACAAATGGAAAAAGGCATAAAAAGGCTGTTGCCAGTAGTTTCTTTGGGAGTTCATGTTGTGCAACTTTGCAAGTCATGCTGTTGATTCCTTTCTGCATCCAAAATGATGCCAAATGCCAAAGTCGCCTCCCAACACAGCATGAGGAAATCGTTTGGAATGCACAAAGACTATAGTATATTTACCTCCTTCAAACGACGTGGCCCAGCTGGTTTCTATAGCAGCTATTAGCGGTTAAACTTCCAGATCACCGGCTTGAGACCAGAACCTGTGGTTGTGTGTATTGCAATTAATTATCCAGCGCTCCTCAGTCCAATGGGTTATTTACTCCTCAAAACACAAGTCTATTTTCGGGGGATAGCACGGTGATATGACTCAAATATACTCAGCTTATGAGTTTGTTTGTGGCGCCTTGCGCCTCCAAAACCGATACCCGTCGCTCGACCTGCCGTGCCACAGAACCGCTTCAGCGTGAACCCGCTGCTGATTGGTTCGTGTGATATCCTCTTTCGGGGCCAAAAACCCATCGAATTCAGGTCAGGACCGTCCTAGCTTGAACACCGAACGATCATGCGAACGTGGATGCAAACGCGACATGGTATTCTGACCAGCACAACACCGAACGTACACCATGGGGTTGGCGCCAATCAAGAACATCCATCCTCACCGTTGTTCTGAGTCAAAACGACCGACCTCCAGCGACGTCCTTCCATGTCCACGGATAACGGTCACCTTCGGGTGTTCTCACACCGGCGCTGGGAGGAGGACGTCGCCGGGAGGCGGGCCTTGCCGGGTGGCAACGGCCGAGGTGAAGGCCGCGGTGACGGTTGTGTCCCTGAGAAGAGCGGTGAGTGTCGAACGAAAAGCATCGAAATGTGTGCGAAAGCGCATGGAGAAAACTCATCAGAGAAATCGTTTTAAATCCACATTTTCCGGCAAACCTGTGGAATGACGTGAAAATTGGACGTAGAACTTTCTGCTGCACATTCCTTGGCAGTTCATTGCACAAAATCGCAGGGAGAGCTGCCCTTTTCGCGCAAATTCTGCTGACAATCCGTGAGTGATTGGGATGACATTAACTTCAAGACACTGAACAAACAGAGCTTGTGGGTTTTGGTGCAGCTGCGGACAAAAGCAACCGCTTCATCTCAGGTGATGAACTAGCAAGCTGAAGCGGAGTGCGCTGGTCGTTGTCACGAGCATAGACCGAAGCGCCGTGTTCAATGAGAACTTGGGCTGCTCGCAGTCTGTATTGCAAAATCATATCACCAGAGGTGCATTCATGGTAGTCGTCCACCACCATTCCCACCACATGGTGCAGTGCTGTACGTCCCTCTTCATCCCGAACATCGATGCTGAAGCCAAAGTCCAAGAGGATCTGCCAAACGTCTGGCAAGCTTGGTGGAAAATCGTGGAAGACGTTGGCCAAATCTGTGAGTTCTGCAGTTCTCACCTCAGCATGATGTTCCACAAGAAGTGCAACCACATCCTTGTGACCGTGAGATGCTGCAGTGAGAAGCGGAGTGAAGCCCATAGAGTCACGGGTGTTCACATCAGCTTGATGCTCAATCAGCCATTGGGAGATTTCTAGTTGCCCATGCCCCGCAGCAACATGCAGTGGTAATTCTCGACCCAAACCAAGTGTCAGCAATGGAAATTTCTTCGACAACTCCAAGTCGCCTCCGGAACTCGCCGCATGGAACTCCTCAGGGACTTCAATCATATCCTCGCCAACCACTCCTAGCCGGTCCAGCTGCTTTGGGCCAAATGCAAATGAGTCGGGGACACCAATATCCTCACGCGTGCCAGGGAGGAGTTCCGTCTCGGCCGGGTGGGCGGACGTTACGCTGGCCATAAGGAACCCGTGGCCCAAGGGAGGCCAACGCAGCACTTTGGGTGGGCAAGAAAACTGGTTCCAACATGTTCCCACCTGCTCCACTTGAAGAAGCCTACATCTAAGATCGTCCAGGTTTGATTGATGAAGAGCGAGCGTCAATAAGGAATGCCTGCCTTTTTATCAAGGTTGTAGAACCAGTCAAAACACCTCTACACATGGTTAAACAAAGCTACTTGCAAGTTGCAAGCAGTTTTGTTTCATCATTCTGAATCATTCTCACTTGATGATGCACATCGACGTGGATATCTAGAGGGCTCCTTGAGCCTGAGCAATGCGTCGCCAGGGCCCTCGAGGGTGACACTGTTTCGACTCCAGCGGATCATGGGGACTAGCTTCTCTTTCTGCCCCTCAACCAACCAAGCGATGGCCTCCAACCTACTAGCTTCTGCTTCCTAGTAGTAATGCCAGGAGCTACGTGCGTAGCTTCTTGTTACTAGTAGCATCTAGTAGCGATGCCCTTGTTACTACTAGCTTCTTGAACAGTTGGACCATGCAGGTCTTCGTCCCCGGCCCTCCACACCGACCTGGGCTGGGCCACGATGGCTGCAGGCGGTATCTGCTGCCCCCACCTTGGAGTCTGCCAGGATCGGAGTAAGCAAGGAACATGTCCAATCCAGGAGTCGCAAAGCTCGGGGTTTAGGGTTTAGTCTCTAAGTGAGTGGATGTCCAGGGCACTCCCTCACCTCCATGGATAGCATGATATGTCCTTTTGCCCTAGTTAGTTGTCATTGATATCCCAAGTCCACATCGTCCACATTGTCCACGTGGTCAACAAACCTGCTCCGCATGGTCCACATGCCACCATGAGCATCGCTAGCCAGCATCGCTTCTTTTCTCAGCGAACTGCGCCATGGACCTGGCGCCATGCGTCGTGGAAGACACCGGCAGCACCGTAGCTCCGCGCCGAAGCTTGACGCTGCGCCTCAAGCGACGTCCAGTGGCCTCCTGGGGCAGTCAGTGACTATAGCGGTGCAGCTGACGCTGGGAGTGAACAAACTTGACTGGTCTTTTAATGACAGATTATGATGGCGCAAATGAGGAGTACCGCATTGACAATATTGGTGAGAGTGCAGTAATATATAGGACCAGTGTGGCCAGAAAATGTAAAGATGTTTGAGGGCTGATGCTTGTTTAGCATCGATGTTCCTGTTTGGCTCGTGGAATCACCACGATCGCATTCATTCTATTTCGCCGGCACCAAGATGCCACGCACGTGCATGTTTGAAGAAAACACCAACATCAAAAACACATGGTGCACCCATGAATCAGTTCGAATCACTTAAACACAAAAGTATAATTACTAAACACAAATCAAAAAAAACATGTAATACATTGTCTCAATACTGTGCCTTTGGGGGGTTACACTAAACATACCGTAGGCAGTGTTTAAACTTAAATTTAGTATCCCACACAGAAATCAAATTCTATCAAGGTCATCAACACGTATTGCTGTCGGCACCCTTCTGCGCGCTTGCAAGGTCTAGTTGAAACATGTTGAAACCAAAGAAGTTGAGTCGAACAAGCAAAGCCAATACACACATAGTCAAGGTTTTATCAACACAAAACGCCTAGATTGTTCCTTGAAGGGAACTTCCAGCTTCCAATAAGCAAAGAACCCAAGAAGAACAAAAGTAACTGTCAGTTGTAATTATACCGACGGAGGGAAGGTTAGAACGGGGGCCGAATCCCAAAACGTTATTCCCCGTCACTTGGAATGCGCCTGAAATAGTCTTAGAATGCCACCGCTTAGATTTTTGTAACCACTTCGAAAGGGTTTACACTGGGAATAAACAGTCCAAACACAAATAGAATGCACATACATACATGTGACAATGGGAATATATAATCACATATATACAAAAGAAAAGAAAAAAACACACATATATACATATATAGCCCATAGATTTCTAGAATTGATGGACAATATCAACAAAAAAGCTGATAAGTCGGTCACCCATATATAGGCACGTATATTTATTCAAAAAAACACACACTCTTGGCATGGTGCTTCCACAAGAGGTATGATGTGAGTAGATCCTGGTCTTTGCTTGAGTGTTTTTTTCCTTGCAAGCTTGTTTCAAGCGACGGACATTTTCCCTTCTCTTGTCAACACGTCGGAAGAGTTCACCCCGCCAGCGCACAGTCATTCCACAGATAGAATGCCCATATAATTGCACGCATGTGTACATATGTCAGGCAGAAGATGTGTGTACATAATGTTTGGTTGATCCTGGCGCTTGCACCCTTGTTTGAAAGGACTCCAAATCAAGGCTGCTTAACCCTTTTTCTTGTCAACACGTCGGAAGAGTTCACACCACCATCAGTGCACAGTCATTCCACAAACAGAATGCCCATATACTTGCACGCCTGTGTACATATGTAGGCAAAAGATGTGCGTACATTATAATGTTTGGTTGATCCTGGCGCTTGCAAACTTGTTTCAAAGGACTCCAAATCAAGGCTTACCCCTTTTTCTTGGCAACACGCCGGAAGAGCTCACACCACCGCCAGTGCACAGTCATTCTACAGATAGAATGCCATATACTTGCACGGTTGTGTACATATGTGGGCAGAAGATGTGTGTGCACAATGTTTGGTTGATGCTGGTGCTTGCACCCTTGATTGAAAGGACTCCAAATCAAGGCTTGCCCCTTTTTCTTGTCAACACGTCGGAAGAGTTCACACCGCCAGTGCACAGTCATTGCACTGATAGAATGCCCATATATTGTCATGCATGGGCAGATAATGTGTATATACATACATTGTGTCACCACAGCTATGGAAGGAGGCGCAAAGTCAACTGCCATGAACTGCCAGCTGCACTGATTAGTGATTATTTTCCTCTTTGACTCAAAACCACTTGGAGGATGTTTGCAGATCCTTCAATCGATGTTGGGTTTCAATATGTTTATAGCGACGAAGTGAAAGATAGATGACTGTTTGGGACCAGGGGGGAATGAAAATAGAGACCGGGATTGCACGCGGTTGCCATGCATTTGCCACGCATTCAAGTGGTAGGCATACAAGTGGGAACATACCTGGGCGTAGCTGTTCACAAGGAAACTCTGGAGTCAGACCCCGTCACTTGCCAACTCACCCAACTTGCAGGATGCATGCTTTCCATAGCTCTCTCTCTCTCTCTAAATGCCCCCCCGATCCAGCCAGATACAGCCAGAAATGCCGCCAAGTTCTACGGACTAAAGTTCTATTATATTCTACTTCACACGTGTTCTTGCTACTATGGACGCATTCTATCTTCAACAGGCTCCGAATGCGTGGCTCCGTCGTGCAATCCCAGTCTCTATCTTCATCCCCGCGCGGTCCCAAACGGTCATTCTATCTTTCACTCCGTCGATATAAATGAGCAAGCTTTAGACGTCAACCGTTTTGCCTCACATGTTGGATCATCCTAGCTGGACCATCTGGACCTATCTTCACATGTTCACATCGGGGTATATCGGGGTCAAACATGTCAACCATGGATTCCGATAGAATGGACGGCCCCACATCGTGCCTCCTCTCTGTAGAGCTTCAAGTCTCCTCCTGGAACAAGACTTGCTAAGATTCATGGCTGTTGGGACTGGAAATTGATATCACATCATCCCAAAGCAAAGGGGGGCATCCGATTACCCTTCCTGAAACCAGCAACGGAAGTGAAAAAAAAAGACTCTTGTCCTCTACAAACAGGTGGATGTCCACTTCCATGAATCTTTCTAGGGGTGTCATTTTAGAGTATTAAAATGCATTAAAGCATGATTCTCTCTTCTTGACCTTTTGACAGCTTTTGCATGCTTTCGATGAAGTCCATGGTATGACAATGTACGTGCCAGCTGACATGTGGTTGATCCGTGGGTGTCAGCGCTGCGTGGGCTCCTCTTCGCCCCGCAAAGCCCAGCCGAGTTCAGGCCCCCGAGGTAAGAGCTTGGCGCCGGGCATCAACTCGAAACGCTCCTGGCCACGTGCCGAAAACCACGACGCAACGACGCACGAGTGGGGAGGAAGTGGCTGGACACGTGGAGGTGGCTGGACATGTGGATGCACGTGGGAGGTGGTGGAAGAGGCCACGAATGGAGGAAGATCAAACTGATACAAGCTGATCGCTAAGGCGAGAACGTGTCTTCTGCAGAATGATAATTTGATATGACGTCTTATTTACATACAATGTATGTCATATACGTTTACCCATATTTACCCATATTTACCCTGTCAATCCCTGTCACTCTCATCGCTTTCTTCCACATCTGCCGAGTGCTCCAGTCCGCCTCGGTCCAGTCCGCCAGGCGCCGCTGGAAATCCTTGCGTTCCTCCGGTGACAGGCGCTGGGCATCGTCCTGGTCCGCGCGCAAGGCCTCCGACCGAAGCGACAAGGGCCACGCGACCCGAAGCGGGTCCAACGGAACCGGCCAACGGAAGCGACCAGCTCAGCTGCTGATGGGTGGAATTGAGGTGATGGTTCGGAAAGAGGTGGGAAGAGGTCAGCGGTGGGTATGCATCCTGACTGGAGATCCGAATTCGTTTCTAGACACCTCGGGAGAACGGGGTCGAAGAAAACCACTAGATGCATGAACGAAGGTTAGTGCCTCGGACACATCGGCGAGCTCATCGTAGTTCTTGAGCATCAGGGGATGCTGGAGACAAAGCCTCAGGTTGCCACACAAACCATGTTGAAGTCCTCAGTCTGCTGAGGTATGCTGAGGTGACTGTGGTGTCTTGGAATGTCTTGGACCATTTCAGCTCCTCACCACTCGACCATTTCAGTAAGAACATGGAAACAGCACTACTATCAGCACTACTACCAGGACCTTCCAAGGGGCATCTATTTATAGCCCCGAAAAGGTGAAGGATGGTGAAGGGGTGTCCATGAACCACCCCTTGGGGGGTCCTGGTATCATTGCTCATTACCCCTACCATTGATCATACTCACTGAGTTGGGAACTACCATAAATCCGATAGATCGGAGTCCCACCGGAGTCCCACGTCACCCTGCTCCGCTCACGTCACCCGCGCCACGTCCGGAGAGTCACGAGATAGCGACCCGACCCGTCCGACGGCCGCCGAGGAGCGCAAAGGGCCTTTCCCAGTCGCCGATGGACTCCTGAGCTCGGCCGAACCATCATGACGACTCAGCGGCGTGAGCGCCCCAAGCGATTCAGCGGCAGCATGCGTGAGCGGACATGTTTTGGATTTCAAGACCTGTGGCAAGACCTGTGGGCAGACCCACAAAAAGTGGCTTGAATGCGACGGTCTGCTGTGTTTTTTTTGTGTAATGTTACTGTTATTCTTTCGTTTCCTTTGGACTACAAAGGAGTTTTGATGAGAGTTGGAGGGAGTTGCAAACGGTGCACATCTGTCTCGTGTGTTGTGGCAGCAGGGAACCTGCGACAGGTCCAAAAATCCAAATGGGATGACTGGTGAAGCAAAGCTAGGAAAGGACATGAAGGATGCACCCAATGACCTGCAAACACCATCCACCTATCATGACACACGCATCAAAAAGAACCAAACGCTGACATAGGACATCTTCTGGAGCACCTCTTCCACTGTCAACATCGTCGTCATGTCTGTCGTTTCTGTCGCACCTTGTGCTTCATCAGCACAATGGCCAGCGCATGTCCTGCCGCAGGAGTGAGTTCAAGTCTTCTGCACTTGCCGTCTCCCTGTGCAAAGCTCATGCGGCCGCAGTAGAGACGGATTGACAAATGCTCCATGCATGAGGGGATATGTTTTAATATGGATATGTTAATCCGTCTCAACCGTCTGGAGTACATGCATGGGTATGCAGCATGGGTTTGGATATGTTTAATATGGAACAACCCAACCCAAGTTAAACTCATTTGACTGTGAGGCTAAAATGAACCACGTGTATATAGACTGTTTGAGTGCTGATACACTCATCACCCCCAATCCCCGCCTCTTTCATACAAGGGTACTCATGTGTAAATCCTGGAAGATTGACGCAGCAGGCTTTTGCAGTTCCCTATATTATGGTTCGGTCATAGAGCCATACGGTAGGGATCAGTACGGAATTGTTTGTTGTTCCCACCCACGCAATGGTTCCGCCGGTCGCAACATCCGCCGAAAGTCGTGCCTGGTGCACCTGGGTTCTGCTGCCGGTCACGGAAGCGGTCGCAGGTGGTCATGCCCCAAGTGCTCCTCGCGCTCGCTCCGCGTTCCACGCAGGACCGATGCAGCGGCAGCTTCGTTCGAGACGTCAAGACGATGGACGAGACGAGACGCGTTCGTTTCATTCTGAGTGGATGGCTCAGAACCAGGTTCTGCGGAGGTTGGTTGTTGCACAAGTGCACAAGAACTGAGCTTCTGCAGCTTCTGCAGCTTGATTTCCATTGCGACAGGGGTGTCAAATCAAACGCCACAAAGAACACCTCTTTTGCCGAACAAATCAGAACGCTCCGAGACTGCTCCGAGACTGCTCCGCGTCAGCTGCGTCTTCTACGCTGGGAATCCGGGCTCTTTGGGGTTGCAGCGGCCATTCAGCATGGCCCAAATGATGGGATTCTGCGGGTCGCTCTGCAAATAGATGCTGATGCGATCCTGGGGTGTTCAAAACCGTGTCCCAGCACTGCTTTTGTTCACCAGTTGCTTTGAACACCTTGAAGGAATGATTGAGAAATGACTTAACTGAGAAACCTCAAGATGTCCTCAAAAATGTACGTTGCATGATACAGTACATACATGATTCATCATGATTCTGTAAAAAGAGAAAGGGCGTTCGCACCTTCCTTCTTTTCAGTGCGTCCGTGCGCCCGTACGTGACTTACTCGTGTTAGGCCGTCCTCCAGCACATCAGCCGCCAGCAGCTCTTCCAACCTGAAGCCGTCGGTCTTAACCGCAGGATTTGATTGGAACATGTGGAGGGATAGACGGGGATTTGGTGGGTGTGGTCAAAGAACAAAATCCGACAAACTGTCACTCATCGCAAAAAAACAGCGCTCAACATCCTCCTCATGATCGATCCACACGTCTCAGCTCTTCCATGCCGGAACACAAATGCGGACACAAAGAACATCAAAGAACGCTAGGAGCAAAGGGCATCGCTACGAACGGAGCCAAGGACGCTACTAGGGGCTCCTGGGCTTACTATAGGAGCAAGAACGGTAGTAGTGTGTTTTCTTTGATAGGGAGGTCTCCAACCAATGGGTTTTGCGGCTTGCTCAGACCTGTTCAAGCCATCTGTCTCCCCCCAGCTTTGTGGACTAAATGCAGACTTACATGGATTTACCCATGGATGACACATCCAACGTAAGTACCTATTCCATTCAGCTCTGAGATGAACCAAGCAGGACCCCGGCTTCCAAGGCGTCCGCCTGCACTGCATGCATCCGCCCGCCCGCACCGCGGGACCTGATCCTTGCGCCGAGCCACGGTAGGATCCGCTGGGCCACGTCGAGGGCCTGGAAACGCGGTCGGCGCGTTCTCCTACACCAGGTCGAAATGGTTCTTGGTTCACCTCGTGAAAATCGGATCCCGGTTCCCTGATCTTCCCAAAGGCGTGACTCAGGGATTTGATATTCTGATGTATTCTGTAACTATTGCAAGAACACGTGTATAAAATACATGGCATAGTATAACCGATATTATATCTCTACACAAAATATATACTCCGTACTTACAAATCTTACAAGTACTTATCTATACTATCAGTACAAGTACATCTTTTTTCTAATACTCATAGTCTAGATCGCCTGTATGTTTCGTCGGACAGGTGACCTGCGGAACCTGTCGGCTTGGCTGTGAGTCCAGCTATCCTAATCCGAGCAGCTCCTGGCCAGGGAACTGAAATGAACCATCAGGGCCTGTTCATGATATCCAGTTAACATGACATTAAGCCATAAATATTGCTTCTGCTGCATGACAGGACTTGCTCTTGGCAGCAATGAGCGACGATGATGGAGAAGGAGGAGATGATGTAGAGACGTTTTAAAGAGTAGAGTACTCACACAAAGAGATTGTATCATCTGAGAGACGAAGCACGCGAGCAACAGGAATCACTAGACTTCACGAGAGTGGATGGAGTTTCTCACTCTGGCCTAGCTTCACACAGTTGTTACAGGATATATCATGATACAAAGTATGCTTGGACTGTTGAACTGCAGGTGTGGTGAAGTTGATTGCTTTGACCGGCGGGCTATACAGGACTAATCTCCAAGTAAAAAGAACACTATATTGGCTCCCAGCAGATAGAACTCATGACTCATGACCAATCATGCCTGTGAATTAAACAAGGGAAAGATCCCCTTGTTTAGCCGGGGGGGCAAACACATTAAAATAATATCGCCGGAAACCGCCCTGGGTTTGGGAATCTTTAGGACATGTCTTCCAGTGTCGGTTCCAAAGAAACCATGGCCATCCTGTTTTGGCGGCCTCTGCATCAAAGTGCACCCGCACGGTCATGGACTTGCGGTCCTGCAGATCGCAAGACCGGTCTGGGGATCGAGTGGACAATGGGTGATACTACCATCCAAATCCCATTGAGCGAAAAGGAGACATAACTGTGCCATTAAAAACGTGCTGCCCTCCCCCCCAGATCTTTTACTGTTTCAACCACATGGCACGCATCCACATGGTTGCAAACCATGAAAAGCTTTTGACTGGACTTGGTTGATTTTGGTGTTTTGGGGGCGTCAAACACACATTATAATTACTCTAAACTCTTGGCTCCCTCACTTTCTACGCTTTCTATAGAAATAGTTCAATGCTTCTAGATTCTAGAAACAACCACCATGTCACGGTCCAAGCCTGCTGAGTGTCGACTGCAACGCACAAATCGTCTGGCGCCTTATGTCTTCAGAGAGCAAGTCAACATGAAGAATCCTTTGGATGATCAACAAGCAACAAGGTGATGGAAATAGATAGCCACCAACCCATGCGCACGGACCACGCAACACAACATCCAATGTCATTGATGGAAGAAGTGGACAGCAGCCCAAAAATCCACATGAATTTTTACAACTTATGACATTTACCCCTCGGATGCCAAAGGGCAATCATTGGCAGTCAATCCAGTTCCGGATTCCAAACTCACCTGAGGCCTTGACAAAAAGCTGGCCTGATTCGCGGCCGCGCACGCAGGGTGACGGTTTGGCCCGTTTTGCGACAGGTTTTTGTCTGTCACGATGTCGCCTCCCCAAAGGCTGATATCAAGTATAGATCAACGAACCTCAAAGTGAAGGAACCTGGTAGAACGGATGGGTTCAATAAATATATTACACATTTCTATTACAGTGGGGTTCAAAGTAGAACAGGCCTTGGAAATTGAACCCATAACGTTATTTGCTTGTCCCAATAGAAACAGGGATGCTTTCGCATGTCATCGGTAAGTCTGATAAAGTCCCATGACATGGCAGATCCCCATGGCAGTCCCCATGGCACCATGGGTCGATTCGTCGGATACGAGTCTAATAAGTCGATCCGGTTGATTGTTTTTTTTTTTTAATAAGTGGTTTAAATGTCAACACAGAGTCAACATGTACAAGCAAAAGCCGTCAATGTTCAATTGGTCATTGCAAATCGCAACCTGAATTCATCTCATCGTCATGTCCGGCAAAATAAACCCTGCAAAATAAACGGCCTACAAACATATTCAATAACGAGAGCTTTGCGGTCGATCTTTGAACGAAGGCTGCTCCATTCTTCCAACCGCCGCCGCACGACCTTCTAAACGCCGCAGCCCACCGAAACGGACGGCACGAGTGAAGCGAGTTCAACGACGCGCGAGAAAAACGCGCACACGACGCGCGGTTCACACGGGGACGGTGGCGCCTCCACCAGGCATGGAGCGTTTTGGAAGACCCTGTGGCACATCGATCAGCTCCGTGCGCTGCGCCGTGGTCTGCGTGGGCGGAGAGGAGCTGTCGGGGTGTGGTCGACTCCCTGAAAGAATTCATAGTTACGTGGATGGAAAACAGGGGAAAGCTACCTTGGTATTCGGAAAATGGATGCCATCCACTTAGGATGATTCCAGGGAGTGTAGCTTTTCACAATGTCCTGCTTGCTGCCTGTGATCTTCTGTTTGTTCAAGGTGTGGAAGCTGACTACTTGGAAGGGGTCGTTCAAAATGGGCACACCAAACTGGAACTGTGGCTGGCTATAATACTCCCTGGCTCTTTGAGCCGGGAGTGCTCAAAAGTATATCCACTGGTGAGGCCAACAACAGTACAATAATGTACTTGGGGAGGGGTAAATGTTGCTTGCTTTAGTAAATGTGACTTGGGGTCTATCAATCTGTGGATGTTATGTTGAATTTCTTCATGGTTTGTTGTGCAATGATATTGCTTGTGTATGAGACAAGCGGTCTCGTGATTTTGAGTGATTGATCCTCCGTCCAATGTCTTGAAGTCTTAAAAACGGAGGTGTCTAAATGCAAGGATAAATGCTCAAGAGTTGTTTTTTGTTCCAACCAAACCAGCACCTGAACTCGATCTGAGTCCAGCAAATAATCATAATTATCATGTTTTCAGATGTTTTCTCAGAATCGCTGATATTGAATTCCCGTAGTGTCCTGCATAAAGCAACGCAATATTAAGCAGCGCAAGAGATGGAATGTGATGGAATTACACTGAAACACCCAGCAAAAAACGTGAACACCACGTTGAGCGACTCCACCTTCCATCTGGCCGTGCCTGAGCCGCTTCCATCGCCGGGGTCCAGGCATAGCCACTCCTACAGTTTCTGCGAAGCAGCAACGCTAGACTCATATGACATGGAACACCACCACTTTTCTTTTGTATCTTCGACAGCAAAAAGAGGACCACATTAACTCATAGATGCTTGTGGAGATCATCTCCCACAAAAAGTGGTGTTGTGTGGAATCAACGCGGGTGCTATAGCAAAATATGCTCCATGAAGAACATTGTCGCCACTCCCACCTCGCTGCCGGATGTTTCATTTCCTTGCTGTACCACCTCAGGCCATATTATGCGATGTGCTGCTGCGGTGATGCCGATCGCAAGGTGTATATCAAATGATATGTTTGATTATTATTTGATAATATGCTACAACAAGTCAATAAACATCTCTCAAAAGCGGACAAAAATGAATTTTCTTCATCAACATGAATCAACCAACAAGTCTCCATAACATGTAATATAACCATATAATATATATAATAACCAAACTGCCTGATACTGTCTGCTCTTCCTCAGTGCAATCACATACAATCACCGGAACAGCTGGGTCGCCCGAACAGCTGTGGCCAACTTTTATGAGCACCTTTGGCCAACTCGAGGTGGAAGGTGATCCTGGCATTGTGGATTTCTGCCAGAGCGGAGTTCAGTTTCTTGAATAGGCTGGATGTTCAGCCTGAAAGACGGTCCAGGTATGGTACTGAACCCACCAGCCCGCCGGTACACCACTGGAGATGTTCAAATCGTAGGACAATGTGTCTTCTCGAGGAAAGGGACTCGCCTTAAGACAATGTTTACATCCATCAAGTCAATTTGGGATGTGAGTAATGAGTCATGAGTGATGAGTAATGAGTTGATGGCCATTCAAAATCACTCATTACTCTTCTCTGGGTGATTTTGAATGGCCATCAACTCATTACTCTTCCTTACTCTTCCTTCAGGCCCTCAGAACCGTCGGTCCATGGACAAATGGTGGTTGTCCGTCGCCCTGTCATCTTCCTCTCAAACAGGAATAGCAGGAATTGGGTATTACAGTACCAGTAACAGTCAGATTGCGGGCCTTTCTCAAACAAAAACGTTATAATCATGGATCATTAATATGTTTCTGACTGTTACTGGGTAATGAGACACACCCTAAATCCCCAAAAACATCTCAAAACGGGAAAGAACCCTGAAAAGAAACACAAAAAACACTTCTCCAGTAGAGAAAAGCAAACCACGACACCGACTGCACCGCACACATCGTGGCCGCCTCAAAACCGTCGTGCGAGAACCCTAAAAGGGGGTGTCACCATATCATGTGCTCTGGAGTTACATATGTAAAAAACATTAAAACCCCACATAGAATCCCCCACATGAAGAGCCTTTATCCATGCCAGTTGAAATATAATCAGTCTACATGACTTTCGGTCGGACTGCCCATCACTCTCGGTCGCCTCTGGAAGGCTTCGTCGACGCCGCGGACCATTCTTCGGGCCGCCAGCCGCTCAAGTCTGGCGGCTGGAAGGGGGAGGGAGGGCGGGAAGAAAGAAACCAAACAAAGAATAAGGGTTGCATCTGGTTGCATCAAGAATCCGAAGGCTCCAAACATCTGTCGCAATCTAGTTGCCTAAAATCAGCCAACACAGCGCCTCCAGGAGCACAAGTTGGGCAAGACGGTGCCACAAAGCATGCCATTCAAACCCGCCTCAGAGGGAGGACATCACAGTTCCATGTCTATTTTTGTTCACATCTAAATATTTACAATGGAATATCTATCTGAACATCTACCCAACCCGCAGAAACATATTATATGTCTCAAGACTTCTCAATGAAAGCAGCTTCCCAAGGCTGGGGCCAAAGGTTTGTCCTTCAAGAGCACCTGGCGCTCAGAAAGAAGGAGACTCGTGCGATCCGCAATCACTGAAGCTGCAGGTCCCACGAAAACCACACCCACGAACTGGAGCAGGGTGTTTTTCAGCCAAGCCAACTGGAAGGGTGATTCGAGGAAGTCCTCCGTGCAGGGCATGAAGTCACCAGGTCTTCTCGGTGATAGGCGATCAGCTCATCTGCTTCGATGCATGGAAATCAGAAACAAGGCCACCGGTCGGGGGGAGGGGCTCCTGAGATCCGTCCATGTCCGTCGCTTCATGGGCATCAGTAGTAGGCCATTTGTGCAAAGCAAATATCCAGAAGCCGCGTAGTACTCTTTACTTTTTTTGAAGTACTTGCGTCAGGAGTTCATGCTTGGCAATGCACGCACACATTGCACATATATATATATGCTATAAATATAGATATAAAATTTGCATTTATGAGAAAGGCTGAACACGAGACAATGTAACATGATTTATATATATAACACACGTGTCGACTTGAACATGCACAGGCATGCATGTGGAACAAGCACACTTGCAGCATGCTCAGTCTATGAGTCTATGGGAAAGCGCATCTTTAAGAAAAAAATGGGACAACAAGGAATCAGGTTGTCCAAGCCCTTGTTTCGCACCCGGAATGTTTGCATTCCAGACCAAACAAAATGCCTGGTCTGCCTGGTCTTGTTGAAAGACAGTTCCAAAGGGTGGGTGAACATGGATGAACTATGATTCAGTCTTACCCAACACATTGTGAATGTCAATATATGTCCATTAACATCCACATACCAGTCACGTTCGACGGGGTGCCGAACTTGGAGGAAGTCGGGGTGCCCCAATTCTCTCTTAGGGGACGAAAAACCACCCCTTTGTCTGTGACTCCCCAAGTCATTCAATCCAGAAAAAATCAAGATATTGAGTGGATGTTCTCGGCCCTTCGTTGGAAACCCCCAGCATGGCCCCCTCTCGACCGTCTCTTCTCCCTCTCTCCTCGCCTGCAGCTGGCAGGTCGAAGCCTTCACCACCAGGTCCTCCTGTTTAGGTGCGTCGAACGACGCTTGGCGTGTGGAACGCATCCATCTATCTCAGAGGATGTCTTTGATGTCTTTGGAAAGAACATGTGTTTGGCCTTGCATTTTACATTGACGTTTGTGCGAAGTCCTCCTTGAAGTTCCCTTGCACCAAGGGACAGGTCAAGGTCATGCTCCTCAGCATCCGTTCTTCACTGGTATTCAAAGAATGGTTGCGGCAAAACCAGACTCTTTACGTAGGTGTGTGACACTTGAGGCCAGGGGGAGAGGTCGAAAGCTAGCCGAATCGCACCGGATGTACTAGTTACATAGTCGGCAAAGCCTGTAGGGATTACATGTTTTGGGAGGAAGGTTGCTATGTACATACTTTGCGCTAAAGAATGTAAATGTGACATCGCTGACTGGGAAGGGTACCTTGGAACAACCCGGGTGCACTCGTTGGCAGGCACGAAGATGCGTGATCGGCAAATCTGGGGGGTAAATTTACCCTCCGCTTTTGTATGCCTTGAGTCGGAAAGATGGGTAAGCATTTCTGACATCATACGGACTGTACATACACTAGGGCGTCCGTAGTGTAGGAGAAGCACGGGTAAAAGGTATATGGAATAGAGTGTCTTGAGGAAATAGCCGGTGTATGGTTATTGCAAATCTGGGGGGTAAATTTACCCCCCCGCTTATGTATGCCTTGTGCTGGAAAGAGGGGTAGGCATTTCTGGCATCACAAGGACTGTGCATACACTAGGGCGTCCGTAGTGTAGGATAAGCACTGGTAAAAGGTATAAGGAGTAGAGTGTCTTGAGGAAATAGCCGGCTTATGGTTATGGCAGATCTGGGGGGTAAATTTACCCCCCGCTTATGTATGCCTTGAGCCGGAACGAGGGGTAAGCATCACAAAGACTGTGCATACACTAGGGCGTCCGTAGTGTAGGATAAGCACTGGTAAAAGGTATCAAGAATAGAGTGTCTTGAGGAAATAGCCGGTGTATGGTTATAGCAAGCCTGGGGGGTAAATTTACCACCCGCTTATGCATGCATTCGGTTAGAAATAGGGGTAAACAACTTGTAACGGTGAAGTACAAGTCCTATGCAGCAAGCAGCAGCCAGCAGCAGCAGCAGCAGCAGCAGCAGCCGCCTGCAGCCAGCAGCCAGCAGCAACCACCAACCAGCAGCCAGCCAGCAGCACCACGCAGCAGCAGCGCAGCATCAAGCCGCAGCAGCAGCAGCACCACCGGCAGCAAGCACCACCGGCAGCAAGCAGCAAGCAGCAGCAGCAAGCAGCAGTAGCAGCGGCGTCGTCAGCCGCAACAAGTAGCAAAGCAGCAGCTACAAAAGCGGCAACCAGCGGCAGCAGCAAATAGCAGCAGCAAGCAGCAGAGCGGCAGCAGCAGCAGCACCCTTTACACCAAGCCACCGTTTACACCCAACCAACCACGTTCAACCAACCCCCTACACGGTGCAGCTGGGAGTTGAACCGCGGGGGGGGGGGGTTAGCTTGATATATCAATCTTTAAGGCACGCAGCCCCTCCCACCACAACATTGCTAAAGCAAAGAAGAACTCAGCTAGCATGCTAGCTTTCGTGATTTGTCCAGCAAAGTCATTGAAACTCGGCCTGTTGGAGGCACCAAACACATGCCGAACGCCGAAAGCTCGGATCATCTGTCTCGGAGTCTAGCCACTGATCCAACTTTGGTCCAAACAAAACATTCTCAGTATTACAATATACCAGCACCACCCAAGGGGTGGATATTAGATGGAAAATACATCTTCAGGGGGGTCTATAAACCACCCTTTGGGTGGTGCTGGTAGGGAGTCCCTACTTATTACAATAGGAGACCGACACCCGAACTCGACCCCTGAAAGGCTCGGAAAATAGAGTCTACCCAGCATGGACCACCCAGGACCCACTGTGGGGTGGTTAATGGACACCCCGAATCACCTCTTATTGGGGCTATCACTAGAAGCCCCACACAGGGGATCCTGGTATATACAGTAACTACTATAGTATGTATTTCTACAATGCCACCGTCTGACTCGGCCCGCCGGACGTGGCATGTTCAGCTACCTCTCATCTTCAAACGAACAAAACATGGGCCCCTCCAAACTGGACACACCCAGCCAGCCAAACCCGACCCACTCAGCAACATGCAAAGCACAAGAAAAAATAAAACATCAGCTGAGCATTCATACCCCATGGTCTGTTGCCATTGCACTGTCCTTGGCGCATCAAGAGAAGGCGTGGGCAATGAGTCTTGACAAAAACATCAAGCGGATAACATTGGAGGGAGCCGGAAACATGTTTCTGCTGAGGGGTCAAAGTGCAGCAGTTGCCCGGATAACCCCAGCTCTCCTTAAAATTGCCTATTGCTTCCAGGTCATGTCGCTTGATGCACATCAGTCCTCCCAACTGAGAACTGAAAAGGAACCCTTTGCCACGAACCCGCAGCTCTCCTTTTTGACGTCGATCTTTTTGTGTCTTCTGCTCGACGCAAATCAGAATGAACCTCCTTGCAGCTGGCCACTGCAGCACCAACACCAGGGCCGCTGGCACCCTCCACCAGGCCTCAAACTTGGCAGGGTCATCGGCTTGACAATTTCCACATCATGATCACAACCAACGCGATGACATTCCAGGGAGCTCTGGCGGAGCGTGGTTCTGCTGTTGACGGCGCCGCACCTCGCAGCCCGCTTGGTTTGGGTTCAGACATGATGCTTCTCCAAACCCTCTGTGAAAGTGACTCTGACTTAACTGGGAAGTCGAAGGCATCCCTCTCCACTCTGGCATTCGTTGGAATGTTGACCTTTGCTGCACGCAGCCAAGGGCATCTTCCAAAGGCACCGAATCCGATGTATTTTACCGAGTCGGGAAGTGTCACCTTGGTCAAAGAACGGCAGCCGTAGAAGGCTTCATCCTCAATGGAAAGCTGCGAATCCGGCAGGGTCACACACACCAGATTGCTACAGCCTTGAAAGGCACCATTCCCAATGACCATCACAGACTTGGGAATGACAACGCTCTGCAAGGAGCTGCACTCTTTGAAAGCACTATCCTCGATCCATTGCAAAGAGTTCGAAATGGTCACACTCTCCAGCTCCCTGCAGCCTTGGAAGCAACCTTTTCCAATCTTTATCACAGAATCCGGGATGGTCACTCTTTTCAAAGAACTGCAGCAATTGAAGGCGTACTTGCCGATGGTGTGTGCTGTGCTTGGAATAGCCACCCATGCTAAGGCCTTACAATCTTCAAAAGCACGGTCGACCACTTCAACTGAAGAATCTGGGATCTGCACCGCTCGCAAATCTGCCACATCGCAGCGAGACCCATGCTTTGTAGCACACTCCACAGGAGGTTCGAAGATAACTTGTATTTCAGCATCTTCGGGTAGTCCTGCTTCGTCCAGTGTCATGTCATCGTTGACGAGCTTTGTTCCCTGGAAGACCAACCAAACAAACCCCACATTCGTCATGCGCTCGAGCTGGACTTCAGCAAGCAGTTGCGACTTCAACTTACGGATCGTGGAGCTCCTTTTGACTTTAAGGTGAGCAAGGTGACCACTCAGCTGGTTGAAAGAAATCGTCATTGAACTCATAGCCGCCGCAGCCATGGCAAGTTATCAGTGGCGCCACAAGTTGTGGCTTGGACACTTCATGTACACCTGCCTTGAGAAACCAACAAATGACACAAATCACACATGTCACCCACCTGCCCCACCGACCAAAATCACGACCCCCATCACCTCCCCAGCTGGCTCCCACCTGGCTCCCACCTGGCTCCCACCAGGCTCCTCCCTGCGGTCCAGCGGCCCCTCCTTGCCGCTGGCGGGTGTGGCCTCGAAGCGGCGGAGCGATTGCACCCGCACACCGTGCAAGCCGCGATCCTGCGGCCGGATCGGCCGGATGGACGCTGGACGAGGAGATCAAGATCGAGCCCAAAGACCACGAGGAGCCTCAAACGTCCAGAGAAGCCTCCAAGTCGGTGAGGGACTGACTTTCCAAGGGCAGGAACCGACTGAACCAGCGGAACCTTCAGAATCGACCGATGAAATCGGAGGACCGAAAACCAGCACAGCCGAGAAAAGCGGGCGAAAGAGACGTCGAAAAAGTCTCCATCTCCGAATAAGGGGAATGGGTGTGTTTGAAGATGGAACCAGGCGGGCCTCCATTGAGCTTTTCGTGTCTGAACCGCAGAGCTTCCGTATGGTTTGTTTCAGCTTCCGCCCAGGGGGGCGCGGAAATGGCAAGTGGAGTGATCGTTTGGTCATCTGTTTGGTCCGATCACCGTCACCGTCGACTCCCCGATGCCATGCAGGAGGATGTGGCGACACGCCCACCGGTCCCGTGGAGGTCTCGCCAGCCACCCGAGACCTGGGTCATCCGTCGGAGGCCATGCTGGGCCAAATTCGGACTCAAACTGCTGGCGCCATGCGTCTGTCTTTTCACATCCCTCTCCTCCAAGTCTTCCCACTTTTGAAGCCACGTCATCGCGAAGAGCTTGTGGCGGATTGTGGCGGATGTTGTGAAATGTTATGAAATGTTGTGAAGGGTGGTGCGTGATGCATTGGACTTGGTTTCCGGGGATGTTCCAAGTGTCATCAGCGCAACCATTTCAATCATCATCATGAGGAACCTTTTCGACTTAAAATCAATTCTTAATTGTTCTTCATATTAGGTACACCTCATGTCGTGCTGTTTCTTTTCTCCTGGTTGAAACCTCAGCCGTCCGCTGACAGTCTGACACAACACTGTGGTGCTTGCTGTCCCGAGTGCCTGCTTCGTGATGCACCCATAATATGAAACCAACCATCCGCCAGCCCTCTTTGACTCAAGACTGCAGGCGAGGATGGAAGGTGCTTGGTGTGGACATGCAACTTACCTTGGGCTACTTGCCTGATAGACATTCTGCCTGATAAACATGCCAAACTCAATCTATGATCAACTGTGGTCAGGACCAGCATGAACTACTTCATGCTACTTGTCCTTGCCTGGATCCACATGTGCCATCTCCTTCACACATGCGCCAACACCGCTGGGGTTCATGGAGCACCAGCAACGTCTTAGGCCACCACACCAGGTGCAATTTCTCCGCGGGGCTTCAAACAGCATCGCCATGGGGCAACAGCAGCTGGGAAGTTGAGGAAGACCGAAAAGGAGAAAAGCAAAAGCGATACCTTCCTTTTTCGCTCAATCATGTGGGTCACCTGCCATAATCCTGTTCCCTGGTGACCTCCATCGTCGTCGTACAACTTCAACTCGGGACAAGCATCTTATCTCTTCGTTCTGGACAGGTCCACTGAGATCTGGCGCAACATCTGCATGCAGGGAGTGATCATCTTAATTATGAACTATATCCATACCTCTGGTCTTTGTGCTGCTGTCCAATGTTGCAATGTTCAAGCCAAAGTGCTGCTGCATAATTATGTAACTCATGTAATCTTAATCCCGAGTACCATATTAAAAGCGGACCCCTATTGAAAAAAACAGTCACGTCGGAGCCCCCTAAATACGGTTATATTCGTTTTCAAATTACCGCCCTTTCAAGCCGCTACTAAACTACCAACATGGCCGACTTGGGAGTTTTTTTATAATTAGGTTCCAAAAACAACCGTAACTGCCCACCTCAGTCCACCCTGTCTACTATCCACCATGACACGCCATGTTTACACCAGCAGGCTGTCCTTCCCCCAATGGCACGGACTCACACAAACGCACTTTCCACCGAGGTCACGCAAAACCGCATGGCACAGCGACATCACCTTTCGAAAGCTTTAGTTGTTAGTCTAATGAAGAATCACTATTAAAGGTTTTCATAGGGGAAAAGGAAGGCCCTTCGATCTGGAGGCGTTTTGAATTTTTGATACGGGTTTAATAAAGGAGTTCATATGATTTTTTCCTGGGTGACTTTTTGGTTTTGAAGCCCTTCCCAGGTGACCCTATTTTGGACCACCCTGATTTCAGGCACCCCCTATTTTAAAAAAATGCGACCAAGGTGTCCTTATTAGGCGGGGGAGGGGGCATGTTTTTTATTAGGTGGACAATGGACAGGATTAGTTCTCACCAATTGAAACCAGTTTTATCGTGCATTGAGGATGTCATACTGGCCCTGACCACCTCCCCATGACTGGCTCAAAGCCTCTCTTCACACCAGCTCTTCACAGCATCAAATGAACGAGCGAGAAAGGCGATTGAAGGCCCCACGAGAGAAAGGCTATGTAGAATTGAAGGCCACACAAAAAAGAAGGAGATGTGGAATCTGAATATTTCTTTTGGGGGGGAACTTCACCAGCAACTCCTTTTCGTGGAAGCACCTCAGGAAAAACATCCGTTTCAGTCCACGCGAACCGTCTATGTACTGCAAATTCGCATGTATACTAGGCCTGATTGTGTACTGTCAAACTCTTATTTCTCATGCCTCAAGGGCCTTTCCCATACCGCAGCAGCCGTGTGCGGGGGGGGTCGGTACCGTTTGCGCCTCTTTCCAGGCGGCCTGTCCGGGGGGGACAGCAGACAGGCTGGAGCAGTTTTCCAGTCGCCGAACAAGGACGATGTGCAGACTGGTGGTTGGTCGTTGGTCCAATTGGAATCACCATTTCCAAGGATGGAACGCATTGAGCGCTGGATTCTTGGAGTCTGTCGACATGACAGTTCGTGATAGCAATGATGTTTTATGGGTCCAAGTGGCGCCACAAAATAAAGACCCGAACAGTCTGGTGATATCCAAATTGTGAATGGTTTGTTCTTGTGAACCATTTCCAGCCTTCAAATCAGGTTCACAACAAACCCTTCAAATGTTGAGAGCCTCTCCCCATGTTGGGGGACGATTCAACTCCTTCCAACCCTCTGAAGCCCCTTCCTTCCACCAGAGGCGTCGAGAGGCGCCTTCTTGGCGCCCGCAAAGCACCGCTCACACAGATCGTAGTCGCAGGTCCTGGAGGTGGGAGTGATCCCATCTTCGAGAGATTGATGAAGTTTAATAAGAGTTCCGTTGGTCTTCCAAGGAGAAGCATGTTCTAGGGGACATGGGTCCATCCATTTCCTAGTGGAAATGCTTACAGGGATAGTTTAAGTAATGGAGAAAGGCCGCCGGGGGTTCAGGATCCGCAGGATGTCTACCTCAAGATTGTCACCTCACGTCTCATCTCAAGGGGCCTCTAGAAAGGCTTGTCTACCATGTCCCAACACATGTCCTCCGTCGTTGCGCTCCTGCATCGGTAGGTGAAGCTGAAGTCAATCCGCTTCCTGCACCTCGGGCCATTGGGGTTTGAGGTTCGACCCCCAAAAATGCACCTCACGCTGAGCCGAAACAGCTTCGCCAAGGGGGGACGCCCATCACGATGCCTGAGAGGGGTTCGCGCAAAACACCTCTGTGTCCTATATGGCGCTGGGTGTTTCAACTTCAAGACCCTGATCGACCACCGACAGTTTTTCCAGAATACCTCATGGGCTCCAGGATGCTCCAGGTGTGAACATCCACAGCATCCACAGCCAATTCCTCATGCCTTCCGGAAGGCACCTGTCGCAAAGCTGCGAGCCCACCGAGCAAGTACACAGCTGCAAGGCGTGGTTCCGTGGGCATCGCAGCGAGGCCGCCTGGGGCGACATCGGGTCGACCGGAGTCGAGCGACAACAGTCGAGAGCGACGGGAGCGAGTTGAGGACTGGAGCGACGAAAATATGGCTCTGAGGTGATGGCTGTTGGGCACCTCTTCCACCAAACCCATGGTTTCAGTGGGGGAATCAGTTCATTTTAGGTCTACCACGGTGCCAGGGTGCCATGACCGCCATAAGGATCGATTCGCCCAAAGGCTACTTAGTAGGCTATGGGAGTCCATCACATGCATTCTGTCACTTGCAGTCAGTCATGCTGATCGAACAAACCTTGGGAAGTGAGATCTCATGATCCGTCAGGATCTATCTGGGGAAAACAAACCTGGCGTACTTTGTGGCCACACACCCACACACATTGTGGTCACACGTTTGCCTTGTTGTTGCCCTGAACCCGACACCCCCCACCACCCCCGATCCTCAGGAGCTCGAGCTCCAACGGCCGGCTCCGTAGGCTCCATGGACGTGCGTGATGCGCGCGGTGCAGACCGGCTGCGGAGCTTCTGCCCACTGTGTTGTTCTTCGCGTCCAATCAAGACATGTTCAGCCAGTGCTACCAGTGCTGCCAGTGCTTGATGTTGGATGATGTTGCATGGCTTGATGATGTCTCATCAGTCATCACCTGCGGAATTGTCAATTCTTCCTTTTCACTTGCGAACCAAAGGCAACTGTGGCCACATTCAGTTCCACCTTCTCAAAAGGTGGATCTTTCAAAAGTCATCCAAAAAACGCACCAGTTAAACAGCGAACTTTGCAAATACTGCAGCCCTGAAGATCCCTGAAAACATGGTTAATCCGTTGGGGTGAAACCCAAAGCGACCGAGAGGATGTCTGAAGAGCCACCAGGGGCACGAGCCGATGTCCAAGCACTTTGGAGGGTGCGAACGGAAGCACCTATGTGTTTGGTTCTGAAGCACACATTGCTACCCCACGCAAAGTATAGACTCTTTACCCGGCTGGTCATGCGATGTTTGATGGACAAATGCAACAGTGTAACAAACCTTAGTCAGAAAAGCCACGCAAAGCCATGCAAAGCGGCATCGCATGCGGTTCTTTTCCCCCTGCTCACTCTTTCTGCGAGCTCGGCATCCACCTGTGGATGGGCGCCCGTGTGTGTTGGCTGTCAAGCGAGGGCACGTTCGGCTGAGCTTCGGATCGGCGAGAATCCGGAAAGGCCGCCTACACGTCCGTAGCAAGTCCGAGGCCTTCCGCATAGCGTCTGTCCGGACTAGATACATCCATGAAAGCGCCACTTGACCGGCTTTTGCCAGAAACCAGCGAGTAGCCCTTCCGAAAGAAATGGGTCTGTCCGACTGTCCTTATTATAAATATAAACTCCTTCCCCCATCAACAAGCAGCACCCTGGTTTAGTGCTGCTATGAATAACAAAACGAATAACTTTCTGAGATCCTGAGGGTTCTTATCCCTGGGGGCTGTGGGGGAGCTGTTAGTTGAGCTTGTCCTTTTAGGTATGGATACCATTGCTGGCTAACTGGATATGGAAGTGCTTGATAGGAGAGAAACAAATTGAGCTCCCATGGCGTCATTGAAGGGTAAGGAACTGTCTGATCAGCAGCCCTCAGATTAATACATGTAAAGACCCCTGACATGGAGTTCATTTGACGTACAACAATGATGTCTGTGTTTGGACATTTAAACTTATGGACTGCTTTATCATCTCTGATGACTCTTATGACTATTTGTAGCCTGTATTTCACACCGCATGTATTTTCTGCCTATGTTCTCACTGATTCCGCTAAACCGTGGTCGCCTCAGCGCCGCTTCTTCTCCTCCGCCTGGCCAGTTTCGCGGTGGCCCAGCGGGTCGTGCCCTGAAAGGTACACAAACAGTCTGTTCACAGCCCAATTGGTCCCTCCAAACCGGGTTTTCCAAAACTGTTCGACCCCAAACCCCAAGGATTCG